AGTAATCTTGTCACATCGTCTCCTATCGTGACGATTAATGGAACGATTTAACATTTGACGTTGCCTACGCATCCAATTGTACCTATGATACGTCGGTCAAGCTTTAACTCGAATAACGCGAATAATTTTCAGTCTTGTAAAATGCTGTCCGACATCATGCGTTGGTCATTCTATATATATTGCCACGAATAAACACAGAAATTATTGTTAATAAACGTTAAAGATTGATTATTAAAATGTAATATTTTGCAAGATTTTGATTTCTAATCTTTAGTGCTTCGTAAAGAAAAATGAAAAATGAAGTCTCTAAATAATTTTTTATCTTAAATATCACTTTTTCTGTATTTTCTCATATGTATAAATTAAGTAAAACAAAGTATACTCTCAAAAAGGAAGTGTTTAATTTAAGATATTAAAATATTTTTTTCTTGTTTCCATTTTTGAAATACTTAGGCTAATTCTACAATGTGCTCTTTGTTTCCTGTTTCTTGCTGTTTGTCTCTGTTTGTCTCTTGCCTTTTTGATCAATAAGATAAGAGACAAAGAAATAGAAAACAAAAAGCACATTGTAGAATTAGCCTTAAAAATGTTTTAGTTTTAAACTTTTTCCATAAACAAAACACTATGTCTTTGGATTTAAAATACATAGTGTTTTCAATTCGAACACGTAGTGTTTTGTTTATTGAAAAGTTTGAAACTAAAACATCTTTTTAATGTTTAAAAAATGGAAACAAGAACAAAACATTTTAATATCTTAAAATTAAACTTCTTTTTTCAATGTATGTATACATATATGTATATATGTATATATAAAATTACTAATAAAACAAGGAGTTATTACATTTTATCATTAAAATGCCGAATGTTGATATTTTCTGAGATTGCTGCTTGCAAGATGCATCGAATGCGTATTATATATTATACAGTGCGACGCAACGGTTCTTTTTGTTCGAGAACTGAACTTTGCGTCGGGATCCGTATAAGGTCCGTTTTACAGCACTTGCCGAGGTCTCCTGTGCTTTATCGCGATACATACACTGAGAAAAAAATATAGTTAATAATAAATATAGTTAATAAATATTTAGTTCAATACTGCCATCTAAACATTTACTTACAGTAAGTTTATTCAATAAAAAAAATGATTGTTAAATCAAATTAACATTTCTTGTATAAAATAAATGTATCTTTATATTTAATAAATATTTAGTTGGCAGTATTCAACTAAATATTTATTAAAATGGATTACATTTTTTTTCAGTGTATAGTCTCGTTACGGCGAGATTACGAGATTAACGAGATTAACGAGATTAACTTAACGATATAAAAATTTTTATCGCATTGTGCGAAACTTTGAAATTTTAAATTTTATTAATATCTAAAAATTAATAGAGAATCTATTGTCTCTTCCTTCTCGTTCTACAAATATATAGCTTACAGAAATCGCATTTAAATTAATCGAATTAATTGAATTAATTTCATTTTAAATAGTTGTGAGCGAAATATACTCGTCTTGTAATAACGTCGTGACGATGCGATATCACGTCTCTGCAGTCTGCGCTTCGAGGTAGAAACGAAACGAGCGGAGCGTGACGTGCGGTGAGGCAAAATCGTCGTTGTCACTGTTGTTTTTAATGATGAGTCTGTCGAGCGAGGTGCCCGTTTAATTACCGATACTCGTTTCAACATGGGCTCTGCTTGCTTGAATCGCATCACTATGGTCCCGATCCTGGCCCCGGTCCGCCCACCCGTATCCGCTGCCCTAGCCTACGTAGAAAGGTGCAACAATGTACATCTATACGGTTTGCACGTCGACTACCATCGACGACGTAAAATCAACTGCATTGCTAATTCGCTAATTTGCTAATACATGGCTATATTTTTCCGAGCCTTTATAATAGTATACATGTAACTACTTTATATAATAATATATCGAGCAACTTACTTTTATCTTTACCTCAAAACATCGATCGATCGTCATCAGTCAAATCAATTGTTGATCAATTAAAATTTTGAAAACGGTTATATCAACTATAAATGCGATAGGACATTTTATTTCCAACGAATAAAATTAACGAATAAAATTTGACATAGAACCGCAGCAAAATTATTGTGTTTTACCAGGATTCGCGCGCGACGTTGCATTTAAATTAATTATTATCCGTGACTGTAATACTGCAATAAATATCTTGACACGTGCGTGTATTGATCGAAAATTATTACTCTTTTCCGATACAAATTTCTGAAAAACAAGAAATTGAATCGCTCCATGAATCTTTCTCTTAATTTAATAAATTTTCTTCTTTTTTCCTTCTTAAAATTTTTATCTTAGATTTTTTTTATTTTATAGAAGATTTGAAACATAAAATCCTCCACAAATACAGGAAATTCGTTATTATTATTGCCTTCGTGATAGTTTCTTCCATCATCCACACTACAGATCAAATTTATGTGTACAGTCAAATCAGCTTATAAAACAAATAATCAGTTTGTAAAACAAATTAGCGATGCGTCTCTACATCTATCTAAAGTAACCACTTAGAAAATAGGTTTACATCTAAACTTCGAACTTTAAGACTTTACCAGACTTTGTCAGATTTCATCAGACTTCGAGGAATTCATAAATTTGTCGAACTTTGAGGAATTTATCAGACTTCATCGGATTTCATCAGATTTTATCGGACTTTATCGGACTTTATTGGACTTTATCGGACTTTATCACAAGGAATTCAACGGACTTCTGCTAGATTGTATACCGGAATTCAAGAATGGTTATCCCTTTGTTGTTATCTCATTGTTAATCTTTTTAAAAAACTTTGCAAACTTGCAATGAGAAGTAGAGTTGCGTTAAAAAAGATGGATTTATAGGAGATCATACTGAAATTCAAATACATAGTGTTTTGTTTATTGAAAAAGTTTGAAACTAAAACATCTTTAAGTATTTAAAAAATGGCGACAAGAACAAAACATTTTAACATCTTAAAATTAAATATTCTTTTTTGAGTATAGTTATATCACATCACCAGTCACATTTATTTGTCTGAAACCTTTCAATTTACACAAACAAGAAATCTAAATGACATTAAAAAATGTAAAAATGTTGGCTATTTTCATTTTTAGAAAAAATACGAGTGAAAGAATTTTTTGTATGAGAACAATGTTTTATATCATATACATATATTTTTGCCATTAAAGGAAATCTCGAATAAAAGCATCAAACCTATCATCCTGATCTTTTCCTATATCGATATAATATTATCGATTTGTGAAAAGATTCCATTGATCAGGAAGCTACATGACCGCAGGGATTTACCACTTGACATCATCGGCTGAATCGAAGATGGAATAAAAAAACAGAATGAGTGCACACCAGCTTTCTCGACGTATCCTTTCTCTTTTTCATTATGATCGTCAGAGCTTCAATATTGTTCAGGGATTCCTTTGGATTCCCGATGACCTTCCGACGTAAAGGAAAAAATGTACAGTAATACGCACATATAAAGATCGTATATTAGACTGGGATGTGAAAGTAGAAAGTAATGTTTCGCGAATACAAACGTTAAATGCGATCCTAGAGAGTGCGGAGGCACTTATATCGTACAAGGAAGCTCGTTGGCTCGTTGAATATCCTTTCTCACTCGCTGTACATATCCAATGCGATCATTTATAAATGTGAGCGTATGTAAGAATTATTATGATACTCATGAAAGATATAATTTTATTCTCTTATTGCTAGATATGACGTTCTTATGTATCCTGTATCATCAAATTTAGTAAAGTATGTACCACTGTGTGTACGAAGATATATATATATATATATATATATAATTACTTTTATATATTTT